AAAAAAAAAAAAAAGAAAAGCTGCAAACTACTTTGCACAAAAGGAATCCAACCACATATGGAAGCAGATGAACTCCTTGTTAAATGTTAGTTATTTCAGTTACTGCCTACTTTCAAGAACAGATGCTACTTCTCTCTGTATTCAGTGGTCTTCATGCTTGACCATCCACAAAAATACTGCCCTTCATCACACATGATAACTATCTTCCCTAATATCTTCAGCAGCCATTTAGGTGGGCCTTGGGGCATTTTACAGGCCACATGATACAAGGAGACTTAACTAGTCCCAGGAGTCAAGCAGGGCCCTATTCAAGCCATAAGGCCATTTCCCTGGCTTTGAGTATGGCTCCAGCTAAAGAAAGGGGACACAAAGGCCATCTTCAGGGTGCAGATGAATCCCAGGCTTCCCACTGGAGCACAAGGAGCTTCCTCACCTTTTACTGTGTTGGTGCAGTGCATGGGAGAGGTCAGAGGCTCCAGCCATTCCTGACCCTTCCTCCTTAGTCAAAGAAGGGCCCAGAAGAGCAAAAGTAAAGCTCTTCCACTACGTTTCCTTTTTCTGCCAGTACCCTTCTATTAACATCCCTTTTAACTTTGGGGACTAGAAAAGTAAAGTGACTATAAAGGCAGTGACACATGGTAGTAGAGGGAGAAAAAATACAGAGGTATGGAAAAGGAAGATCACAGGGATCGATTTGTCACTTACCCAAAGCCATAAAACAGCCCCGACTTTCATCTCTGGTTCTCTGTCATTTGTAGCTCAAGACCAGCAAACGTGTATATAACTTCTGTGCCCAGGATGGACAAAGTGCCCAGCAATGGATGGACAGGATCCAGAGCTGTATCTCTGATGCCTGATGCCCATGGTCAACATACGCAGAAGAGGTAGAGGAACGTGGGCTGCCCGACAGAAAAAAGAAAATCCTTGAGGAGCTAACCACAAGTCATCCCACAGCCTGAGGTTCTCCCGCCCAGTCTTACCCAGTCCCCTTGGGCAGCGATTGCGATGTCTACTTAACCTGCATGGGTGTGTCACACAGGTCTGGTCAAGAGCCCAAGGCATTCCCTATATCTTGCACTAAATTGTTCTAACAGGGTCTTAGTGGTTAGGGATCAGAAGATGCCTCCTGAGCCAACTGTCACCTGCCCCCAGGCAAAATGGCTACCACCTACCTGGATCCTTCTTCATGAAAGCTAGATCCTTTTTGTTCTCCAACATCATAATTTCCGTGGAGAGCTTTTTAACAGGCAAAAATTGAAACCCTCCAAGATTATCTCCTATTCTACACAGAATAGGTTTACCAACAGAGGCACCTACTCGTACTGCCTGACCTTTGAGATGCTCAGTTCTCTGGTGCTGCCAAAAGGTGCTTCTCTCTGCCATGGGGGTTCACAGCAAAAGACATCATTGCTCAGTGGCAGGCAAAGAGGGAGCACACAGGGTTATTCCAATGGAAAAAGATTGTCCAGGGAATGATGCAACAATGAACAGGCCAATGCAGGAAAATACTGTTTCCAAAACACTGACTTCTCTAAACTAGAAGTGCTCTGAGGATCTAGGACCTGTGTTCCTGTGTATTCTTCTGCTCCTGGACAGCTTCTTACACAAAATAACATGCAAAAAGCTGAATGCACTAACCCACAAAACAAACACTTGCACTGAACTCCTAATGAAGATGTTGGGAAGACAGAGGCCATCTATTTATGACCACACACACCTGTGACAAGGGCTGTGTAGACCACAGTCACACTGTGGCATGACTGGATACCCAAACAACACTTCTGCACATGAAAAGTAAGAACTGTCTTTAGATTTTCTTTACTTTTGATAACCTTGTGTTTGTTCAGCTTAAGATTCAAGAAATGCTGTTTGCTTATTATAAACAGAAACAGCATTTCCGCTACAGCCACTGACACCAATTGGAGTCATAGGTAGCTAGGTCATTTCATTTGTTTTGAAATGTTAATATGTTAAATACTAAACTAATATTTCAAAAATATGTATATATGATTTCTACATCCTTGTTTTTCAGATAGCCTGCTTATAATTTAATATAAAATTAACTAAACTGATTCATTTATAAGATTTCAATAATGAAATGGTTCCCTTTTTAAAAAATAAAAAATACTAGTTCTCCTTTCTAAAGGCAGTGTTATTTTTT